TAAAAGAAAATTAACATTAAACAATCTTTTACAATTTTTGGTTTAAAATTTTAAAAATAATTATTACTATCAAATATTTTTTACAGTTATCTTTTCTTTTTGATTTTAGGAAAGAAAAATTAGTATTTACACATGTCACAATATTAGATATATAACTGCCATATGTATTGATCATGTTAATTAGTAACTTTGAAGAACCAAACTTTATATAATAAGATGTGGGGTTAAGAAAGTATAAGAAAATGAATTAAAATTAAAACCCATTATTAAGTTGTTAAACAAAAAGGAAATAAAAATAATCTTAGTAATGTCATTATGTATAACTATAATCCATTAAGGTTAACTTTGTAATTAACTATTATAAGAGTTAGCGTGAACACAACACGTAAGAAACTGACTTCTCAAATATTATTATTATTATTATTATTATTATTATTATTATTATTATTATTATTATTATTATTATTTGACATCGACAAATAGACTCATATGGACTCTGCGAACCAAACATGTAGCTCTGTATCCATGTGAACAACGAAAGACGATTGTTTTCTCGCACTGCGTGCTAGACTATCTGCCCTTGAATATAGTGTTTTTGGTACATAGATGATTGCCGAGCTGCGGAAACTCACTTTAAGCGTCTTGATATCTTCCAAATAATTTGCAAAGGCTGGTCATTCGGCTGGTTCCGAAATCATTTTCACCAATTTTTTTCTCATTCGGGTTAAAATTAGCCGGGTTAATGTTGTTGTTACCCTTAATGAATTTTATATTACTAATATTAGATTTATATGCTATATTATATAGTTTATTATAAACTAATACGATATAATTTTCAAACCTATTTTTTTAAATACAGAAAAGATAATTCTTATATGTTGTTATCTGGAAAGAATATTTTCTATTATAAAGTTAAAAATAAGAAATATTTTTTTTTAAATGTTAATACAGTATTAACATATATACTTTGATGAAAAACTTTGTCATATATAAATAATATATTTGTTTGATTTAAACTTTTTGAGAACATAAATACTATAATAACTTATCATGGTGTTTTTTGAATTAATAAGATATAAACTAATATATATTCTTAAGAAGATTATGTATATATGTGCAGATAAAACACATAGTACAGTTAAATGAAACATGTTACTGGACCGAATCCGGCAGCCCAAACCCGTCCAATTCTATAAACTACTGTATCTGAGCTTAATTATATAAGACCAAAAAATCAGATTTCGGGCTTAGTCTATTTAAGATTTAATTGTTGGGTTTAAGTCCGTTTAGATTAGGACCGGCCTGAAACACAAAATTTATATTTTAAGTTATTTAATTATTTAAAATAGCTAATTTTCTAAAATATTAAATTTAAACATTCTCTTATGTCGTACGTTTTATTCTTTTATATATTTCATATTAGGTTAAAACATCCAATAATTAAGATTGATTTAATATTTATTTACTTATAACTTTATTTCAAAGTTTACGAATGTCGAAGAAGGAAAGTCTTTTTTTTCTTTTCTTTTTTCTTTTTGGCACCATCCGAAGAAGGAAAGTCTAAACTAACTTTATATTTAGATGATAGGTTGAACTGACTTTCTATGAAAGCTTGGATGTTCAAACACAGCGCTACGGTGAATTAGCTCGTATGATATGTGATGTTCTAAGCAATTTAATAACTACAGTGGTATCTTTTTTTTTTCAAAAAAAAAAAATATAGTGGTATCAAAGTCTAGTTTAAGCATGGGGAATTAGAGCACATATACATAATCAACACATATGTTAAGTTTGTACACATAAAAGTTTATAGGCTAAAGTGTTCTATGTATTTTGTATAATATTACACTGACTACCCTTGCTAAACGACAACCGTCTGATCATATACACATTTCTCCTCTTTTTTTTTCCTTTCCACTCCCAATTTTATTTGATATGTATCTTTTATATCATATAATATAATTCAATCGAATAATTTGGTTGAACAAAACATACAGATTTTCCTATACAAATTATAACTTGAAATTTTTCAAAACGAATTTTCTAAAAACTGTCAGATGAAAGCTTAGACTATACTATAATGAAACATAATAAAATAGAATAATACACCTGACTTAACCTATAGTCAAAACAAGGTTTTGGTAATACTTATCACTATAGTATAACTTCTCTTCCTCCTATCTCTCTCACTCTCATCCTCCCTCTCTCCATCCCTCCTCTTCCCCACAACTGTCACCACTCGGCATCCCCTCCTCCCATATACTGTCTTTTTCACCTCCCACCTTATCTTCTTCTCCGCTATCTTACCTACCAACAATAACATTCATTCATCTGCCATTATATATGCATTTCTTTCTACTGTTATCTATTACTAAACTTATCTAAGAAAATGAACAAAATACTATTTAGTATAGTCTCCCTTCTTTTTCTCTCTCCCACTCTCACTTGCTCTTTGTCCTCCTTACCTCATCAGTTTTCTATACTATTTATGTAAGCAATTTATTATAAAATAATATATTACTTTTGTTTAATATATTAGATTCACCCACATTCGCCAGAGGGATAATAAAGTCAAGATTGTTACTAAATTGTCCCATCTAATAGTTATCGGTGTTGTATAACTACATTTTTCATTTTTCACTCCCTTATGAATATACATCAATTTGGCCATTTAAACATTGATACTTATGTTTTAAAAATTATAGAAATCATCTCCTCCAAGATATGTTGAATCACTGATTTGTACATGAATTTGGTTGAAAGGTTTTTCATTCCGTGGATCAAGTAACATATTAATATTTATAAAATTTTATATTATATTGATATATATGTTAAAAATTAATATCTTTTATACTTTATATGTTATTATCGATGTCGATGAGAATGTAGAAGTCACTGAAGAACATCATGATCTAGATCCTATAGTTTCCACTTCTTGGAGTTGAAAGAATTTTGTTTTATAATCATTTGCTATTACTATTTATTTGGTTTATTAGGCAAATATATTTATTTTCGTTTTTAATTTTATAAATAAATATATTAAATTTCAATTAAATTAACTTTAATTTTAAGATTAATATATTTAATATACTTTTTTCTTAAAATCCGCAAACTCAAAATTTTTATTGTCTTTTTAGGATCGGACCGAGTTTTGAAATATAAGTATAAAATTTTGCGGCTCGGACTGGGTGGCTTAAATAGTAATGGGGTTTATGTGTTTCGGGCTGGTCTCGGCCGGACCAGCCCAATTGACACTCTTAAGTTAAATGTTTGTTTCTTCATTTTAATTTTAGTATTTTTTACGTTACTCTCCTCCATAATTCATTTTCCATGAACTCCGATGTACCTCTAGGTTCACCACCCAATATGATTTCATTATTTCATATTCAGTATCTTTTAAAAGAGGAAACAAAATATTATCGAGTTATAATATTTTTTTTAAAATCAAAAAGATAAAGATAAAGAAAAAATAATATTAGTTGCAAACAAAAACTTAAAAAAAAAAATATTTTTAATGCCGTCAGCAAAACCCTAAACTCTAAATCCTAAACCCTTGGATAAATCCTCAACCCTTGGATTAATCTTAAACCCTAGGATTTATGATTAATCCAAGGGTTTGAGGTTTAGGATTTATGGTTTAGGTTTTAGTGTTTTGCTAATGGTATTAAAATATTTTTTTTAAAATTCAAGGATTTATCCAAGGGTTTAGGGTTCTAAGGTTTATGATTTAAGGTTTAGGGTTCTAAGGTTTATGATTTAAGGTTTAGGGTTTAGTGTTTTGATAATAGTATTAAAAAGTTTTAAATTTTTTTTTGCAACTACTATTATTTATTTATTTATTTTTATCTTAAAATTTTAAAAACATAATATAACTCAATAATATCTTGTTTTTTTTTTTTTTTTAAATATACTGAATATAAAATAACGTATTCCTATTGGTTGGTGAAACTAGAGGTTCACCCTAGAACCCAAGAATTACTTTTAATATATTAACAAAAATTAAAAAGAAAACTAAATCTGAGAAATTGTTTTTGTTCTCTTGCTGATTTGTTTGTTGTTTAATTAATCACACTAGAAGTGCCGGCAAGACGGTTGTTCCTAACAGATTATTGTTTCCTCTATTAGTGGAGTTAAACTCTTTTAAATGTGAATGGAAGTAATTGGTTTGATAAAAAAGTAAGACCTCTATCAATTCTAACTACAAAAAAAACTATGCAAGTATAAATGCAAGACCATCTAACAACAAATGAAACGATCGAACATGGTCCAAAACAGTAAAAAAAAAAAGAAATAATTAAGCAAAAATTAAGAAAATAATAAGATTTTGTTTGATAAATATACAGATAAATTATGATAAAAATTTAAAAAAATTAGAAATATTTCTAGATTATAACTTATAATTTTAAAAGATACAACAAAACATAATTATTAACTTTTAAAAACAAATTACTTGTGCTTCGAGATGTTACTCCAGTGTAATATCATTAGGAATTGAAGGGTTCCGTGGTTTTATTATATGAAGCGGTGAACTTAGAGTACTCTGTGAATGACTGAGTTAATTGCTGAGCCATGGTTGATTATGTGTATACAGTATGACAGGCAGTGATTATGAGTTCATTATATATTTATGCATCTAGTGGTGTCCTTGTTTAATATACTTTGCTTGTTCTTTTTATCATCTATATCTCTAACCAAACTTTTTTCTTGTGTGTTTCATGTCTTGTAGCTGGTATATTGCCCAGGGGCAATAACGTGACATGGAGAGGTATGTCTTGCACCCAAGACGGTATTTGGCCTGTGAATGTTCATTTCAACCTTTCCGGAGGCTACTTTGACGGAGGAGAGGCAGTGAAGACAAATTTCCCAACCTCTTTTGCGATGACGATGGTCAGCTAGAGTGTGATTGAGTACGGCTCCAAGTACCAATCAACTGGAGAGTTGGCCCACGTTAGAGGAGTCATCAAGTGGGGACGCATACTACCTTGATATTGTAACCAATCATGGATTGGCTGAGAGAGCTGGTTCCTTCTCCACCTCTGGAACGGATTATGGAGTTTTCGGATTGGAAAGCAAGCTTCTTTGAGCTCAGGTTAAAATGGTTTATCCTAATGAGATTGAGAAGAAACTGATTTTAAGTTGAAACTGATTCTGTGTATGTGTTGTAGGTGTTGCTAACCAGGTTAAGGCTCTTCCTAGGCCATGGGTATCCCTACGAAGACTTGCTAAGCCAATATCATAACCACACCGGAGTTGTGATGTGCTCGTATCTCCCGTTTTTCAAAACAATTAGGCAAGCAAAGGTAAGGAAGGATTAGATTTATTACATTATTAATTGTGTGTTGATGATGAAGTTGTTGATATCTATCTATCGATCTTTCTATATATATATGAGGTTTGATCAGGTTAAGCCAGGGGCATCTACAACCCTTAGAATATGTAGCAAATTCTGCTTTCTTAGCCGCTCTATACTGTGACTACCTCGATGCTTCTGATACTCCTGGATGGTACTGTGGTCCTGATTTCTACAGTACCAAGGCGTTACAAGAATTATCCCGCTCACAGGTATCCTCCTTTATGAAACAAAAACAAGAGTTAACATTGTGGTATTACTTAACTATGATCTGTTTTTTTTTTTGTAGGTGAATTACTGATGCAAAGAGAATATTGGGAAAATATTCTCAATTTTGTTATCTAGTTTATTATTTAATAAGATAATTATCTATAATATTTTAGGGTTTTCTAGAGTTTTATGGGTCTTATATATAGTCGTTTAGACTTGAGTTGTATTCAGTTTTTGATTGATTAACAAAAGTTAAGAGTTTTCTCTTTTGTTCCTTGTTTTCGGTCCATTATTGGTGATCTCAACGAATTTAAGAAGACATCCATCTTAGGTATTCGTAGACAAATAAGATCTTTGTGATTATCATAGTTTTTCTGATATTCTCAGAATCAGCGGATCACTAATTTTATTCCTAGAAGCTTTCGCTAAATCAATTACATCCTTGGCAGAAACCCACGCAACATGAGCTATGTCGTGGGTTTCGGGGACAGGTTTCCAACGAGAGTCCATCACCGAGGAGCTTCATTCCAGCCCATAAGAAGGTGACTTGCAAAGGTGGCTGGAAATGGAACAACTCCAACAATCAGAACCCCAACACAATCCACAGAGAATTGGTCTCTGCAACGGACAAGGACGATGGCTTCGAGAATGTCAGGGCAAGCGCCAATTACACTGAGCCCAGTGTAGTTTGCCACGCGCGTCTTGTAGCGGCTCTGGTTTCCCTGGGCGAAGGAGGGTCCTTGGACAGGAACAGGATCTTCTCAGTGGTTCAGTCATGAGCGACCATACTTTGACTCAGCTGATTAGGGTCTTGGAAAGGTAATAATAATGTTTTACACTTTGATCCGATGACTGTTGTTGTTTTTATTCAAGTGACCAAGTATGAGCCCTCTATTGTTTCCACTCTCATACTATTATGATTATTGTATTACATAAAACAGCAAGGTGATATTATATGTGAAATGGAAACTCGTGTGTCCACATTAGTAACCGCTCAACACAACTGCCTCTATGAATCTCCATAGGCATATTAGTAAGTACTTTGCTTAGCTGAGAATTCTCCAAAATCTGAAATTGCATGTGAAATATATCCTCAGTGGAAAAGATAGCATCGGACTGATTCTTCCGATCCACAGACTTGTACTGCACCTAAGAGTTCACCAAAATCCATCGGATCATTCAGCTGCTTCTTCCCTCTTGGGACTACGTGTCTCTTTTAACAGCTAATATAGAATCTTTGTCGTTGTTCACTTGTAAAAGATGCAAAAGGAAGAAAAAAACTTAAAACTCAATGAACGAATAATGACATACTTGCCTTACAATCTTAGAAAGATAAAGAGTGATAATTACACAAATGATTTTTCTGAATGAATTAAGAAAGCTTAACTACTTACTCTGTTTCTTCAAAACAGAATGATGAACACATCCAACAGCTGTAGTCTCTTTCTCTGGTCGTAACGGCTTTTCCAACTAACTCTCTTCTCCACTTATTTTCTGCCACCTGTCATCTCTTGTTTAACTATATCAACAAAAAATAGATGTAATCAACTAATTTTTTGGTTACATGCAAATCACTATGATCGTGGTGAGAATCATCATCAACCACTATGATTGTGGTGAGAAAGTTGAGCAAATCTAGTAACCGTTGTGAAATCGCATCTGCAATCGCCTTTGTAACCGTCATCGTCGTGTTTTTGGTTAATTATATATTTGATTTAAAATGAAGACACGGAAGAAGAAAAAAAAAGTAATGAATAAGTGAAAATCGCGAAGAAGTTGCTTCATAGTCGCTAAAGGTTTTTCGTTTCATATATATAGAGAGACTTCTTCTTCCTTCTCTTCTTCGTCTTGATCTTACTTTCTCGGGTACTACTCTTGTTTACAGTTTTGATTGAATGTCTTATGATGAGATGCTTAGTGCCGCGAAGAAAGCTGTCTCTCTCGCTGCTCGTCTCAGCAACGTACGATCACTCTTAATTTGAAATCATCTTCCGTTTCCAGATTTACATCATTTTTCATCTTCTTTCTTTCTCTCGTTGACATTGTGATGTTTTTTCTAGAGATAGACTCTCTTACTGATTCATGCTAAAAATGGAAAATTTGATTAAAAGATGAAGCTGAATCTTCGATTTCAATGTTTTGATTTGAACAATTCTATACAAAAGGTTTCTCCATTGGTTTTGTGGTACTTGTTGAATCAGGTTTTGTACAATCCTTGTTTCATGTATTCACCCTTTCTTAACCTATAGATTTTTGGTACAATCTTCATCAATCCATTGGAAGCTGTCTGGAGTTGTGTCTTTCAGAAGCTGGAGGCAAAGTGACTGATGCAGAAGGGAACCCATTGGACTTTTTCAAAGAGAAATATCTTTGATTACAAGAGAGGAATCGTTGTTACAACACAGAAACTATTGCCAAGGCTTTTGAAAGTGGTGAGAGAATCTCTTAAAGAAGAAGACGAAGAAGAGGAAGCTGATTCTTTGAAACTTCACTGACACGCAACTGTAATATACTTGTTATTCTTGTCCTTGGGTATACTCTGTCTCTGTTTTTTTCTTACACACAGATTATCTTATTATTAAAAATCAACTTTGATAGTTTGATATATATAAAAGAAACTTATTCTCTTTGACGCATTGTTGAAACATTATCATAATGTTCAGCTTAGTCATCTGAAAACTTTTGGGACAGTTTGTGAAAGCGAACACTTGGGGAAGGTTCATAAAGATAATGATTCTTTCTCTGTCACATATAGGGGTGTAATCATGCTTAAATTTATGTTTACCATAGTTAATTAACTGTTTAAACAACTAATGTGACATTATTGTTAGCCACATCATTTAGCTAAAATTAAATTTTGTTATTCTTGGGAGTAGAACCGAGTTAACATAAGTCACACAAAAACACCTTAACCAATTGAACAAAGAACCTTGTATAAAAAGGGTAAACACTAATTAAATTAGATATAATAAACACACATCATATGGACTCGAACCAAGACTTATGGGTCCAACATAAAACACCTAACATACCGAACATATATTTTTGGGTTGGTTCAAGGTAACATGCTCATACCTGCTTTATCCCAATCATGATAAGTGGGTGCTACCAAGTTTCTTATTCCAGTTATCTCTTTGTTTATTGGACAATTCCTTTACATACACGAAAATTTAAACTATCAAACGTTATAATATTGGTTTTCTATTAAAGCAGTTTAAATCATTCTAAGACGATGGTAGTTTTGTTAAGCCACCTACAATAATTGGATGTATCTTGAAGCAACAAGTAGAAGTGTTTTATGAGTTTATATGACAATTTCCTGAAGGTCATATATAGAGCCATTCATCTTTTTAATAGTAATTGTGCAGGAGATTTTACAGGCTTTTCTTCTTTAAGTTGTAACCACATTGTCACAAAATGATCATACTGCAGGTATGGTTTCCTTTGGGCTTTGTTGTTGTAAAATAAACCTTAGGGGCTAATTCAAGAAAATAATAGGTAAGTGGATGTATACGAGAAATTCAGAAAAGTAATCTCTATAATATTATTTGAGAAGTCAGTTTCCTACGTGTCGCGCTCACGTTAACTCTCGCGATGTTTGATTACATAGATACCCTTAATGAATTGTTAAATTTTAAGATTATTATTATTTTTTTATTTAGTTTCCTTTTTAATTTTTTTCCAAAAAATATATATGATAAAAAGGAATTATTTCTAAAATTGTAAAACAAAATTTTAAGCGAAAATATATGTATATAGTATGACTTTATTAAAAAGGAAAGTTCACAAATTAGTAATACCCCCATTAATATATATTTTTAAATAACATAAAATATATATTCAAAATAATAAAAATATATATGTTCATGAATATTCAAAAATTACCAGTTACAAT